ATTTGAGCTCAAATCACTGATCTGTACATTTTGATTGATATTAAATCCATTTCGAAGGTATACCTTCGAAATGGATTTAATATCAATCAAAATGTACAGATCAGTGATTTGAGCTCTGTCTAAGTAATGTATCGTTACGAGTTGTAAGAAGTTTAAAATGACAGTTTTCTAAGATGTCGGAATTTGTACGTTTTCGGACTCTGTGCAAAAATTGAATATCTCAGCAACGAAACAGCTTTTAGATCTGCAGTTTTCGCCATAATTCATCAAAATATTTGCTCTAAAGGAGTTTTATTTTGAACAAAATGTGAAATGGTTGATTGATCAGCATTGTACGATAATAGGTCGTGGCTTGTCTTTAATGGCTCTTACATCTATGTAAACATTCGATCTCATCGAATGTAGGAAGAAAATTTTTTCTTGACTAAAAATTGTAAAAACTTCCAGGTTATTGACTAGACTGAATAGATGAAAACACTTTTTCTTGACTCGGCAAGAATTCGATGACATAATGTCATTATATCATCGAAAGTATCAAAGAAATGTATCAAAACGTTTTCCATGTATTGAATAAATTCTACCTTGTCCTTATTATTGCTGCTGCTATCGCATTGTTTTCAATGAGTTTTTCCATTTCCACTTTCCATTTATGTGTCGTTTCAATTAAATTTGCCAATAGTTTATCTTGTTGATAACAATCACGATAGTTTTCTCTCAGATATTTAATTAAATCTGTTTTAATTTGCTGGGATGCAAACGAACTTTTAATAGCATTTTCATTTAAATATTGCATATGTTCACATGTAAAGTTATTATTTAAAAACAAATCTTTATATATTTCTGATAAATTTTGTCCGTAATTATTAGGACATAACGATGTTATTGAATAATTAATTATTCCTGACTGACATTTGTTTAACAATTGGTAATCGTTCAATCTCTTCTTTCCAGATTTGGCTAATTTTGAATTGATTGCTTCAGTCATTAGTGCATCTAAAGTTGAACACTGTACAAAAGATGTTGATCGACAAAATTTTTGCTTATGATTACTCTTATTTTTGATTTCACTTTTCCGTGGTTGCTCTTCAACAGGACTTTTGATGTTTTCTACTTCTATAGTCCTTACATTAGCACGATTATAAACATCGGAAATGGGACAGACAACAAGATGGATATTATGTTTCAAAAATATATCATCCGCTATTGTGGTATTAGCTGAATGGAGAAATGCATAAGCCTCTGATAAACGTTCAATATCAAGTTTTTTGATAACATTACACATCAATTCAATATTTTTATAATCGCCCATTGATGCCTGACGTCGAATATCAAACTTTTTTAGTTCTTTTGTCCACACTTGAAATTCTTCCCAATGATTTTTACATTCATCTTCTGTACCATAATAATCAATACCGACGATTTCATCAGGATATTGACGAGCAAGACGAATAAAATCGGACATACGTAATGCACGAGACCAATTAATTCCTTAAAGAATAAATAAAACATTTATTGAAAGTTTCATCGTTATTGTCGAATTCTCAGAAAGGAGAAGATGATTGAATGTGCACTATTCAACGCTAAGGCAGAAAGTGGACACTATGTAGTGTACCATTTCACATTACAGAATGATGTCTTCAAAAAAAGTCTCACTATCCATTGCGGCACTTTCTGAAGAAATGTACCATTTTTTTTGATTTATTATTTTATTCCATAGAAAAATCAATTTAAACCGATTTTTTTTGAAAAAAACCTATTTAAATCTACTTTTTTAAAATTCTTTTAGAAAAATCTGTTTAAATTAATTTTAAAAAAAGTTCCATTTAAATTCATTCTGCGTAACTTTTTGT